AGCAAGCATAGGGGGCAAAGGTTTACTTGAAAATTTTTCCCTGGTTAAATTTACGTCCCTCTTTATCAGTACCAGCCCAGCTGAAGTATTGTTGAACCAACTCTTTCGTTTCTTCTTTGCTTGGGTCTAACTTGGTCCAACTGTATGACTCATAATCCACTTGCCAGTCTGGGCACAGCTATATAAAACAAAATCATCGGTCACATTTTATATCTAAATATAGCGACGAAAAGGAATGCAAAACACCATTAAAACAAGAGTCTTACCGTAAAAGCAAGCTCTTGTCCGCGCCAAACCCAAATACCACTGATACTACTGTCATTGTCTGTACCAAACAAACAGGCGCTGGCGAACGCACCCTTGCGCATTTTGTCTAATCGTTGATACATACCACTGATCAAATTGCAAGACATGAAAACCTGGAAAACAGGTGGATCTTATTATAACGTTCATATCCCTATCGAGTGGGCTGTCTCGAACGAATGATTTCACAGTTTACCTTTGTCAATTCGTTATTGTATTTGTATTCGCCAAGCCAGATACTGTAATTTTCGGGATCGAACTTTTTCCAGAAGTAGGGTATAGACTTTGCTTCGTCTTCATTGGAATAGAATCTTTTAAAATCGTCAAGGTCGAAAGCGCCTTTAGGCAAAGTATCAAAAGGATTTATATTTTTAGGTTCAGCGGCCAAAGCAGCATCTGCTGGATCTAATTCTTCCGTCGCTTCTTTCTTAGATTCCTTTGCTTCCTTTGCTTCTTTTGATTCTTTTGATTCTTTTGATTCTTTTTTGGATTCCTTCTCTTTCTTCTCCTTCTTAGAGGTCTGTAGAATGATACAAATCATTGTTTCTCAGGAGAAATGCAGTTAATTGAAAGGGAAAGACGAAACGTTAGTACTCACCTTTCTTTGAGTTTCTACAAACTTCTTTGGATCATATTCAAGCGTCTTTTCGGCCAATTTGAAAGCACCGATTACAGCCATAGATTCAGGTTGGTAAATTACAGTTTGGAACCATCGATTTACATTCTGGTATGGTTTGCGTAGATTGGGCTCAAGTATGTACTGATACAAATGAAGCAATGTCATGGCAACGCTAATATCAGCCAAAGTCAGGCGTTCTCCGACCAAGTAAGTACGCGTAAGTAAGTGAGAATTGAGGGCAGTTAGTGCTTTTTTTACATCATCCTTGGCGTGTTCCACAGTCTGAAATTCATTGACATCTATATATCATTCATCGACTACAATCGCAATAAGGAAAGCGAATAATTTTAGGGAAATATGGGGTGAAGACTGTAAGCATCTCGCTCAGACATGTATGAAAAAATCCGTACACGATCACACAACATACTAACGTTTCTATACCTCCATGAGTTACAAAAATAGTCATATTAT